GACTGACGGATGTGAAAGCACCTAAAGAACCTAAAGACACAACGAATGCAAAGTAGGTGAAGGTGTCAAGGTGAGCCGTGGGTGTCACGGTACATCAGGTGAAAGCTATGTTGATTATGTCAGTTATCACCGCCTCCGAGGGAGGCGGTGATAACGGACGACGGTGCAATGGTCGTCTGGTTTCCGTGATGGCGGAATGCGATGGATCAATTTAAAAAAGAAAAAAAATATATATATATATTTCTTATTATTATCGTGTTTTTGTGGAGCTCGTGTGTGGTATCATTAGCTCATTAGTTTCATCATTCGTTTATTTATTTATTTTTTATTCTGGGATACATTATTAAAACTCATACGTTTAACAACTACTTCGCTGTTTGAATTCGGAAACAAACAAACAGACAGACAGACAGATTGAGAAAGTGAGGGGGGGGGATGTAGACAGAAAGAACCTGAATCGGAATTTCATTCCTTGATTGCCAGGTACTAATTTCTTATTGTAATTATTGTAATAATTACAATTCAATTATTTAAGAGTAAGGGCAAAAGACGGCCGTTTCCTCGGGCCGCAGGAGTCTCTCAGCAACGCTTTGTTTAATTGGCCAGTCATCAGAAGCGAAACTTTTAATCAGTTCCTATAAGTAAAAAGATTAAAGAGAGTAATTGCGTATTAATTAGTTCATCCCCAGGTCGAGCCGTTACCCGCTGTTGCTGCAGTTCGTTCGTGCAGTTTTTTCCGCGTTTTTACGGAGTCCCCGCCATACCCCGCGTTTTCATAGAGTTAGCTACTCCACTTTTCTGCGTTTTCATAGAGTTAGATACCACAGCTTTCCACGTTTTCATAGAGTTAGATACCACAGCTTTCCTCGTTTTGATTTGAGTTAGATACCACAGCTTTCCATCTTTTCATAGAGTTAGCTACTCCACTTTTCTGCATTTTCATAGAGTTAGATACCACAGCTTTCCACGTTTTCATAGAGTTAGATACAACAGCTTTCCTCGTTTTGATTTGAGTTAGATACCAAGTTACATGCCACATTTTTCTGCGTTATATCACAGTTTCTCGGTTCACACTGTTAGTTCCCCCGCCTCCCAATAAACGAAAGCCAGGTGACCTACCACGGGTAAACTTAATACAGGTGTTCTCGATTTAGGTGAGCTTAAGCCATGTGTTCCTGCGAAGGTGGTCTTACACAGGTGAGCTTAAGGCAGCACTTTTAGATGAGCTTCATTTAGGTGATATCATACAGGTGAAATTCTTTAATGTAATCTTATTCAGGTGAGCTCCATTAGGTGAGCTTCATTCAGGGTATGTTATAAAGAGTTTTATCCAGACTATGCTGTACAGATGAGATTCGTTTAGGCGATCTTAGAAAGAGCGAGTTTCATCCAAAGGTTTTTTTTTTTTTTTTTTTTTTTTTTTTTACAAGGCGGGCATCATTCAGTCTATACTATACAGGGTGAGCTTCATTTAAGCGCTCGGATAGAGGTACGGGTAAGGTGGGGGGTAGGGGGGGTTGTGGATATCCTGAGGGGAGACTCGTGTGTTTTCTCAGGAGAGGCAACTTCAAGGCGGAAATGAAGGGAGTTTTCAGGCTTAGGGAAGAAGCGAATCTTCTGTTGTTGTTTTTCGTTGTTGTCGTCGTCGTTATTATTATTATTATTATTATTATTATTATTATTATTATTATCATCATCATCATTTTCATTATTATCATTATCATTATCATCATCATTATCATTATCATTATCATTATTATCATCATTTTCATTATTATTATCATTATTATTATTATTATCATTATCATTATCATTCTTTTGATATTGTTACAGTAGTATTAGTATTACCATATTAGTGATATTAAAATAAATACTGATTTGTGATTAATAAGAGAGAAGGGAAGTGATTTTGTTGTTTCGACGGAATACCGGTTTGAAACGCCATTGATGTTATTGTTGTTGATTCCATGTTATCGGTGTTGTTGATTTGTTGCTTTTATGAGAAGTGATCGTATTAAGTCCTTTATTGTATGTAACTTTGTATTGTGGTGTCTTTTTTTTGTTATTTATTTATTTATTTTTTTTTTTAGATAGCTTTTGACGTTTGGGATGCAGATTTTTTTTTTCTTTTCTTTTCTTACTTTCTCTCTCTTTCTTCTTTGTTGTGTTATACTTACTCTCTCTCTCTCTCTCTCTCTCTCTCTCTCTCTCTCTCTCTCTCTCTCTCTCTCTCTCTCTCTCTCTCTCTCTCTCTCTCTTTCTCCCTCCCTCCCTCCCTCCCTCCCTCCCTCCCTCCCTCCCTCTCCCTCTCTCCCTCTCTCTCCTCTCTCTCTCTCTCTCTCTCTCTCTCTCTCTCTCTCTCTCTCTCTCTCTCTCTCTCTCTCTCTCTCTCTCTCTCTCTCTCCTTCTCCCTCTCCCTCCCCCTCCCTCTCTCTTTCTCTCTCTCTCTCTCTCTCTCTCTCTCTCTCTCTCTCTCTCTCTCTCTCTCTCTCTCTCTCTC